TCTGATCTCGGTCGGGGTCTCTGCAGCGCCCGGCGCGATGGGGGCCCTGGTCTCGGTTGGGGTCTGTGCAGCGCCCGGCGCGATGGGGTCCCTGGTCTCGGTCGGGGTCTGTGCAGTGCCCGGCGCGATGGGGGCCCTGATCTCAGCTGGGGTTGAGCAGACCTACCCATCACTCACCTGCCTCAGGAACTGAGTTGAGGAATATTTCGGCTCTGGGGCCTGCCAGCAGCCAGGGTTGGTCTGTGTCTCTGCTGGGAGAGATGTGCTTTGAAGGTGACCAAGACACCGCACGAGGTCTCCTGTGTTCTCAGTCTCAGCCGTCATCACGCTCCCCCCAGCGCTGAGCTCATGCCCGTTTACACCCCCAGCCACAGCCATTGGGCAGGAAGCTGTGGCCAGCAATTGTTCCACCCCTGCGGTGGATCAAACACGTCTCCCATGGGTCTCGAGCCAGGGTCTGAGGAGCTAGAGAGGCTGCAAAGTAAACCAGTGAGACAAACCCAGCACTGCCTGCCCGGGGAGAGCGCCCCCTGCTGAGCCCTGAGCCTGCAGCACAGCGCCCCCTAGCGCCGCACTGGGGCATTGGGGCCAGCACTGCCTGCCCGGGGAGAGCACCCCCTACTGAGCCCTGAGCCTGCAGCACAGCGCCCCCTAGCGCCTCACTGGGGCATTGGGGCCAGCACTGCCTGCCCGGGGAGAGCGCCCCCTGCTGAGCCCCCCACCCTGGAGCACAGCGCCCCCTAGCGCTGCACTGGGGCCAGCACCTAACGCCTCCGGGACCCCACTGTAAATACAGGGCAACCCCACCGATGCCAATGGAATCAGGCCCGGGTTCTGATCCCTGGGTAAATCCGGAGTAAGCCCAATGCCCTGGCCCTGTGGGGCAGGCTGGGGGGAGGTGGGGAAATTGGGCATGGGGGTTGGTAGAGGGGGGATGACCCTGGGCTGCTGTAGAGCAGGTTTGACGTGTCCTTCTCTCTTTCTGTTCTCCCCTGTTTTGTCCTATCCACCCTTTCATGCCCTGAGACTCCAACCTCAGAGTCCCACAGCCCCCCATGCTCCCCCCCCCATCAGGGGGCTCTGCTCACTCCTTCACCCCCCGCTGGTAGGACCCTACCCCCCTGCATCCCCATTATTTTTCCAGGTCACCCCCACTTCCTGCATCCCCATATATTCTACCAGGTGCCCTCCCATCCGCTTTTCTGTCTCCTGCCCACCCCAGGTCCAGCCCCCAGCACAGGACTGCTGGATTCTGGCCCCTGATTTGAGAGGGGAGTGGGGTCTAGTGGGTTAAAGCAGGGGGGCTTGGGGCCCAGACTCCTGGGTTCTATCCCTGGCCCTGGGAGGGGAGGAATCACAGCAAGTCCCCAGGCTACAAAAAGAGGGGTTTATTTCATTGTCTTTTCACAGCATCGGCAGGAGGCCGATTTACAAAGACGCTTTTGCCAGCGGTTACCACGAGCTTCCCTGAACCGCAGTTCAACCCTCTTGGCCCGACAAACCCTTCCAGCTCCCCTGCGCCCGCACGCCACGCCCAGCAGCGAATCAACCCATTGCTCTCACGGATTGCTCCAATTCTCTCCAGCAGAGGGCAGTGCACCCCCTCTCCCCCCACATTTATACCCATGCGGACAGTGTATCACCAGTCAGCCATGCCTGATGGGGCGGGGCCTGGGAACAGAGTCACGCCCCTTGGGGGGAGGGGCCAGTACAGCCACACCCCCTGGAGAGGGAGGGGCATTTAACCACGTGCTATTCTCCTTTCATAATCTCCCCAGCCTTCTACCCCTCCCTAAAGGGAGCGTAGGGACAAAAGAAGGAGGCGGCCCACCTCCCTTGGGGAACAATAAGCAACCCTCCATGGGGGCTCAGGAGAGGGTGACGCCCGGGGGATGAGACAGTCACACTGCCTGGAGGAAGTGTCAGATAGCCACGCCCTTAGAGTGAAGGGGAGGAGCCTGTCAGCACAAAGCCACGCCCTCATGGGCCCAGAAGAAGGAGGGGCTCTAGGGGAGCAGACAGCTATGTTCCAGAGAGAGGGGCTTAGGGGCTCAGAGCCATATCCTCTAGCGATTTAGGAGGGGGCGGAGTCCTGGGGGGGGCATATAGCGATAATCTTCCAGAGGGGGGATACCTGGGAGCACAGACCACACCCCCATGCTGGCTGAGGAGGGCAAGGAGCCCAAGGGGGATCAGAGGGCTATGCCCACCTGCAGGGGGGTTACCAAAGAGCCACGCGCCCCAGAGGGGCCCGCAGTGGTGGACAGAGCCACGCCTCCCAGAGGGGGGAGGGGCCCAGCGGCACACAGAGCCACGCCCCTCCCCAAGGGGGGAGGGGCTCAGGAGGACTGGCTCAGTCCTTCTGGCAGGCAGCCGCCGGGCCCGTTGGGGGGGCGGGCGGCCTCGTTGAGGGGTGGGCCGGGGGCGGGGCCATGGGTGCGCAGGTGCTTGCGGAGGTCGGCGGCGCCGAGGAAGGCCTTGCCGCAGAGGGAGCAGGCGTGGGGCCGCACCCCGGAGTGGATACGCTCATGCTTGCGCAGGCCGGCGCGGTCGGAGAAGCCCTTGCCGCACTCGGGGCAGGGGAAGGGGCGCAGGCCGGGGTGGAGCCGCTCGTGCTTCCGCAGGTCGTAGGGCGAGGAGAAGGCCTCCCCGCACTCGGCGCAGGTGGGTGCCCCGGGGGCCGCCTCCGGGTGCTCCCCCCGCTGGTGGCGCCGCAGCGCCGCAGCCTCGCCGAAGGCGGCCCCGCAGAGCCGGCAGACATGCCGGGCCGCAGCTCCTGCTTCTTCCTCCTCCTCCTCCTCCTCCCCGCCCCGCCGCTCGCCGTGGGTCCGCTCGTGCTTGCGGAGGCTGGAAGAGACCACGAAGGTCTTGCCGCAGCGGCCGCACTTGAAGGGCCGCTCGCCCGAGTGCACCCGGTAGTGCTTGGTGAGGCTGGCCCGCTCGGCGAAGCTCTTCCCGCACTCCCCGCACTGGAACGGCCGCTCGCCCGAGTGCACCAGCTGGTGCCGCTTGAGATCCCAGGAGGCCACGAAGGTCTTGTCGCACTGCAGGCACTTGTAGGGGCGCTCGCCGGTGTGGATCCGCTGGTGCATGGCCAGGTCGGCTGGCTGGCGGAAAGCCTTGCTGCACTTGTCGCACTGGTACGGCTTGACGCCCTGGTGGGCCCGCTGGTGGCGCCGGAAGCTGGAGGGATCCGAGAACATGCGGCCGCACTGAGGGCAGAGGAACGGCTTCTCCCCGGAGTGGGTGCGCTGGTGGCTCTGGTAGGACGAGAGCTGGGTGAAGCCTTTGCCGCACTGGCTGCAGCAGTAGGGTTTCTGCTCCGCGTGGATGCGCTGGTGGCAGGTGAGGGAGGAGGAGCGGGAGAAGGCTTTGCCGCAGTCGGAGCAGAGGAAGGGCTTCTCCCCGGTGTGGCTACGCTCGTGGTTCTTCAGGTCCTTCAGCTCGGCGTAGGTCTTCTGGCAGGCGCTGCACTGGTAGGGGCGCAGGCCGGCGTGGATGCGCCGGTGCTTGCGGAAGACTGAGGGGTCGGCGAAGGCTTTGCCGCACTCGCCGCAGATGTAGGGCTTCTCGCCCGTGTGGGCCCGCTGGTGGATCTTCAGTTTGGAGAGCGTGCCGTAGCCCTTGGCGCAGTGGGAGCAGCGGAAGGGCAGGTCGCCGGTGTGCCGGGCCATGTGGACGCGCAGGCACACCGGCTGCATGAAGGCCTTGCCGCACTCCTGGCAGATGAAGGGCTTCTCGCCCGTGTGGCTGCGCCCGTGGCTGCGCAGCTCCGGCGCCGTCTTGTAGGCCTTGGAGCACTGCAGGCACTGGAAGGGGCGCTCGGCCGAGTGGCTCAGCTGGTGCTTGTGCAGCTGCGAGCGGTCGGGGAACTCCTTGGCGCAGCTGGGGCAGGCGTGCTTGGCCGCGGCGCTGCCCCCCCCAGCGTGGCACTTGGCGTGGCGGAGCACCCGGGGCACGCTGGGGAAGGTCTTGCCGCACGCCAGGCACTTGTAGCGCCGGCCGCACTTGGCATAGCTGCCAGCCTCTTCTTTCTCCTCCTCTTCCTCCGAGTCACCCTCCAGCTTCACCACAATGCTCACCTCGGGCTCCTCCATCTTTGCGGGGGAGGGACAGGGGGCGGCTCTCTGAAAGAGAAGGCAGGGCAGGTTACAGAGCGGGGTCCGTAGCGAGATCAGCCCCCCTCAGGATATGGTACGATGGCTGGGATGTGCATTAGGGAAAAATCCCACTTCAATGTGTCCATTGGGCTGCCTATAGACTGAACCAGCACTGTATAATGCTGCTCCTGCTACGAGTGCAGCTATTGGGCTGTCTGTAGACTAAACTGGAAAGGTATAATCCCACTCTTGCCACCAACGGAGCCATACAGGAGGGGAAGGACGGACCAGCCATTAGGGCACTAACTGAAGGCTCAGGAGATCTGGATTCATGACCCTGCTCTGCCACAGATTCCTTGTGTGACCTTGGCTACATCACTTGTACTCTCTGGGTCTCAGTTTTCCCATTTGTAAAATGAGGTTAATAGCAGTTCCTATGTCCCAGCGGGGTTGTGAGCATAATATCTAAAAGACTGTGAGGTGCTGAGATATTATGGCAATGGGAGTCAAATAAATAACTAAAAGAGGTAGACACTAAACCAGGAAAGTATAATTCCATCATTGGCCTGCACAGAATGTAGATTGATACATTTATAATCCCATGAGCCCCTGCATGTAGACTAGATCAACAGTTTATCATCCCACTACTGACACCAACAGGTCAACTGGGAACACTCAAACGCTGCAGACAAAGGAGACATGGTTACACAGAGGGCTGACCAGGTATTTATACACTCCCGTGGCTGCGAGTCTATTGTGAGGCACTTGTGGGTGCTGAACAAGGGCATTTGTTCACATGGAGAGGCAGACATTTGTTTTGCCACTCCAAGCAGCAATGTCCTTAAAATCCAAGAAACATCATAGATCTGTTTTTCAAGGTCATCTATTTGCCTTTTCTTTTGTGGTCAAGCACTGTAACGAGGCCACAAAAGGTCTCATTATTTTTGTAGGACCTACAATATTTCCAGATTTAGCCAGCCAGCAGAGGATGCCCACATTGACAGGGCACGGTAATAGACAGAGGCGTCTCCTCTCAGCATCTTGGATTCTTTAACTGATGTCCTCTGCAGTTAAACTGTGTTTTAAAGACACTCTGTACTGAAGATAAAGCCCCAAGGTGTCCTGGGCAGAAATCAATTCCCCAAAGGGCTCAGGGGCATTAAAATTCAGAGCTCAGGTCTGTTTACGCTTCGTGGCTTTTTGCCTCTCACCAGCCAGCCCTGGTATTTCCTGTTAATCTCAATGGACCCAGCCTTTCCTCTGATACCAGCGCTGATATCTAGATTCCAAAGCCAGAAGGAACTATTGTGATAATCTAGTCTGACCTTCTAAATAACAAAGGCCGGAGAACATCCCCCAGAATAATTCATCCATCCATCTTACTTTAAAAACTGGCAGTGACGGAGAATCCCCCACAACCCTCGGTAAATAGTTCCCATGGCTAATTACCCTCACCGTTAAAAATGTCCAACTTTTTTCCAGTCTGAATTTGGCTTCGGCTTCTAGCCACTGGATCACCTTACACCTCCCTCTGCTAGATTGAAGAGCGTGTTCTTAAATATTTGTTCCCCGCGTAGATACTTGTAGACTGGGATCAAGTCACCCCTGAACCTTCTCTTTGTTACGACGAAGAGATCGAGCTCTTTGAGTCTCTCCCTAATAAGGCAGGTTTGCTAATCCTTTAATCGTTCTCACGGCTCTTTTCTGACCCCCTCTCCAATTTATCAACATCCTTCTTGAATTGTGGGCCCCCGAGCTGGACACAGGAGTCCAGCAGCAGTCACACCATGCCAAATAGAGGTAGAATAACCTCCCTCTTCCTATTCGAGATTCCCCTATCTATGCATCCCAGAATTGCATTAACTCTCTTGGCTACAGAATCACACACTCCTGTTCCAATGAACATGAAAGCAACATTTTTTCCAGAGTCACTGCTTTCCAGGATGGAGTCCCCCAACTCGGTAAGTAAGGCCTGCAGTCTCTGTTCCTAGATAGATCCATTTACACGGAGCCATATCAAAACACAGATTGTTTGCCTGAGCCCAGATTACCAAGTAAGCCAGATCACTCCATATCAGTGACCTGGCCTCTTCATGATTTACCACTCCTCTAATGTTGGTGCTAGCTGCAAACTTGATCAGTGATGATTGTAGGTCTTCTTCCGGGTCGTTGATAAAAATGTTAAATAGTCTAGTGCAAGAACCGACCCCTGCAAGACCACGTTGGGAACACAACCGCTCAACGATGATTCCCCGTTTATAGTTACATTTGGAGACGCATCAGTTAGCCAGTTTTTAATCCACTTAATGGGGGCCACGTAAACTGTATAGCATTCTAGTTTTTTTAATCCAACGTCGGATGGTACCATGTCAAATGCCTTACAGAAGTCTAAGGCTATTACAGCAACACCATTACCGTTATCGACCAAATTTGTAATCTTATAAAAAAAAAATCAAGTTAGTTTGACAGGATCTATTTTCCGTAACTCCCTGGTGATTTGCATTAATTATATTACACCCCTTTAATTCTTTATTAATCCAGCCACTAGCTCACCCAGGATAATGTCAGGATTACCCGGATCATCCAGGTTACCCTTTAAAAAAAATTGGCAGTACATTAGCAGTGTTCTAGTCTTCTGGCACTTCCCCTGGGCTCCAAGACTTGCTGAAAAATCAACATTTTGAGAATGCAGAGGAAATGCAGACACCAGAGCCCCTGTTTAGTTGCCCTGAGCAGGAGGAAAAACAGGGAGTGAGGTGCACAGATTCTTTGGTGCCGTGAGCACGCAGACATGCAGCAGACATGGGGTCCGGGGCATGGATTGTTTAGTTGCACCAATGAGCAAAGTTAACCGGGTCTCTTTAGGACCAGGAACGGGAAGGGTTAGGGGGCCAGAGACCTAGGGCAGCCCCAGAGCGCAGCAGTTTGCAGGTATCTGCCATTCTGGAGAGTAGCCTCCCCTCTCCCTCCGAGGAATTTTGTGCATTATTTCTTGTTTAGTATTGGACCGGCCGGGAGGCAGAAAGCAATTGCAAAGTGACTGTCTTTAGGACCGGGGGAGGCGAGACCGGTGCAGAGGGGGGTGTCATCCTGCAGACAGGGAAGGAACAGCGCAAGGAGGCAGAGATGGGCCGCATTTCTGCGTGGGTTTGCACGGCTCAAACCGCAAACCAAAATGGCTGTAGCTAGGACCGGGGAAGGTGGGAAATGCAACCCACGGGGGGCTGGCTAGTAGGTAGGACGGGACTGCCAAGGGGGACTTGCCTCTCTTTGTGCATTGGGGCTTGGAGAAAAATACCGAGCGGGGCTTGAGTCGCGTATGTTGCCTCACAAGCCAAGCAACGTGGCTCGGGGGGAGGGGGGGAGATTTGCAAGGCGAGGCCTTTTGCAAAAGGCAGGCCCCCTTCCCAAGCAATCATTGCATGGCTCCGCGCTTGCAAAATGGCTGGTTTTAGGACCAAGGGAGGAGACGCCGCCCCAAAGAGGCAATGCAAAGGAGAGAGATGCTGGAAAAGAATATGCACCAAAAAAAGAGGGAGAGAGGGGGGTGTTTATTGCCTCCTTCTCCGCACTGGAGTATCGAGATTTTGCAAAAGAAAGTCGCCTCCTGCGTCGTGCAAAGGCAGAGAGGGCTCGCGGCAGGGCGCTGGCTCTTGTCGCTTGCAAAATGGCTCTCTCTAGGACCACGGGAGGAGACGCCACCCCGCCTGCTGGGGAAGGGTTTTGCAGAGAGGCTGCACCAGCGTGCACCCGAGGCGGACAAGCCGCCTGGTGACCCAGGCAGCCTGCCGCGGCTGGGCCCTGCAAGCTGCCGGCCACCGGACCTGGTTTGCACCAGGCTGGCAAGGAGCAAGGCTGCTTGCAAAATGGCTGGGTCTAGGACCGGGGGGGAAGAGGCGCTCCCCTAGGAGGGGGGGCAGTTTGCAAAGGCGATTGCCCCCCCCGGAGCTGGCGTGAATGCACGGGTTAGGAGGGCTTGCAATGGGTTAATCTCGGCCTTACCTGGCTCCTGGCTCTCTTTGGCTGCTGGAGCTGCTGTTCCCCACTCCCTGCTGGAGCGGAATGAGTCAGCCCCTAGGACCCTGAGGGAGGAGAGGACAACAGTAGAGGAGGGGGGGCGTGCGGGGGGAGAAATGCAAAGTCAAGGAGCCGCTTAAAGGGATATTAAACCCCCCTCATAGCCCAGGAGGCTTCCAGCCGTGGGGGATTTATTGCCACCAGGCTGGGGGGGTTGCTACACCCCAGGACCTGGGGGGTGGGGTGGAGGAGGGCAATTGATTGCAAAGGTAGGAACCTTGCTTCCCGGTGGGCTGTTGCGGGGCGGGAAGAGGTTGGGGGGAGCAGCGCAGGAAGTGTGGCACGCCATGCACAGCACGGTGGAAGGGGGGTGCGGCCATAACCGGAAGTGTGGCAGGCAGATCACCCAATGGGTGTGTGTGTGGGGTCGGTACAAACTATCTTGTAGGGGACACACACCCCAGGAAGGGGGCTGATGCACAGGGAGGGAATGGGAGAGAACCCAGGAGTCCTGGCTCCCAGCCCCCCTGCTCTAACCCACTAGACCCCTCTCCCCTTCCAGAGCCAGGGAGAGAACCCAGGAGTCCTGGCTCCCAGCCCCCCCTGCTCTAACCCACTAGACCCCACTCCCCTTGCAGAGCCAGGGAGAGAACCCAGGAGTCCTGAAACATTGAAGGGGAAGGATTTGACTGTAACATAACGATGTTGGGGGGGGGTCAGTTTTTCCCTGTGGACCCCCCCCCCCCTTGGAGGGCAGTTGCAGGGATTTGGCTTAGAAGGGAGGGCGGGGGAGGGGGTAACTTGGCTCCAGGAGGCGCGTGGGGGGGACCCCTTTCAAAGGGACACCCCCGGAAGTGCAGCCCCATGCCCAGGGAGGGGGGCGGGCCTCGCGGGAAGCCTTTCTCCGCTGCACATTTCCTGTTTCCTAGCAACAAAAGGAAGTATTTGTTGTGCCCTAGCCTGGGTGACTCTTGCAGCCCCGGCCCCCTGGCGGAGGGGGCAGCAGGGCCTGGGGGGGTTGCAGACGCCCCCCGCCCCCCAGCAGCAGGGCAGAGCGGGGGGGCTACAGGGGCTGGACCCTGCTCTCCACGAGGGACGGACCAGAGCCACCCCCACGGGCTGGGGGGCGAGATTCCCACCCCCACGGGGGGCTGTGGCATTGCCTTGCCCGCCTGGAGACCCCCCCACCTGGGAAATCAGCCCCCCAGGGGGCAGGTGTCTCTTCTCTTCCAGGGGGCGGCAGGAGGCGGTGGATCGGGGAGCCCCCCACCTGGACTGGGCGCCCTGCGTTGGAAGAAGTGGGGGTTCGCCCGGCCTGGGCTCTCCTGCCACCACAGAACTGGGGTTCGCACCTCTGGGACCTGCCTCCAGCCTCACAGACCCCTGGGAGCTCCGGTCTCCAGCAGCGTGGGGTTCACACCCCTGGGATGTGTCGCCCGCCTCTCGGACACCCCTGGATCCAGACCCTCCGGGTTCAAGCCCCTGGGAGCTTCTGTAGCCAGCAACTCGGGGTACAGCAGCCTTGTACCCTGCGATCTGGGGCTCAGTTCCCTCAGCCGTGAGCGCCTGTCTCCAGTCGCTGTCTGGACCCAGACTTTTGGGGCTCGGAGCCCCCATTACGTCCTGTATCCGGACCCCGCTAGGATCCAGAATTGAAGACTGAACTCCACCAAAAGTCTGTGCCAGTCCCTCCCCTGAGGGATAAGGCACCCCGGGGAGACCTGTATTTTGGGGGTTCGTGCCTACAAATTTCCTCCTTGTACCCTGAAGATCCTGTGTTTGCCTCCGCGTCTGGCTGTCACTTGGGTTGTGACTCCCTCCCTGGAAACTGCTTCAACACCCCTGCCCTGGGCCTGTGTGTCACCTCTGGGATGCTTTATTGGACCCTGGAGGTAAGAGGCTGGCTTTTGGGGGTGCTGGGTTGTACTGGGGTTGGTTAGGGCCCCATCTGTGTTCTAAAGCCACTTTAAAACACTTTTTCCTGTTCTGCTTATGAAGTGGGTGGAGATTGTTTGTTATTCTCGTTTTATGAATGGATAAACTGTGGCGCAGAGATGGGGACTTGCCTGAGGCTGTAAATGAAGTGTGTAGCAGAGCTGGGAACCCCGGAGTCCTGGCTCCCAGTCCTCTCTGCTTTAACCCACTAGACCCCACTCCCCCACCCCCCCAAGCCGGGGAGAGAACCCAGGAGTCCTGGCTCATTCCATCCCCCCCCCCCCCCCTGCAATTTTAAATTAGATGCAATTGTTTCTCGCCCTTCCTTAGCTAAAAATTATGTGGAGTGGCTGTGTGTCCTACATGCTGTGTCCCGCCCTAGAAGCAGCTGCATCGTAATGCAGGATGAGTAGTCCCCACGCAGCATCGTTACGTGTCTGTTACTGAGCTGACCCTCCCCAGAGTGGCAGCATCTCAGCACCAGGCGAATCATCCCCGTGCTGTGTCACTGTGTGGCTGTTCCCCAGAGGCAGCCGCATCTCAGCGCTGAGTGAAACGTATTGTCCCCCAAAACAGGTCTTAGCTGTCTTTTTCTCTACCAAGGTTGTGGAGTGGCCTAATTTACCTGTCTTGCTATGAGCATGATCAAGTCATGTTGGAGGCTAGAAACTTTGAAAGCCTCTTTTTTTTTTAAAAGGCTCCCAATTTTAAAGAGCGACTGAATGGAAAACAGCCACCCACCTACACCCACCCTGAGAGATTGGTGTTCCTTTTGCCTTCAGTGGGCCAGAGATTGCTAATGAGTTACCCCAGTCACAAATCTTAAAGTTCCCCAACAGATTGCGTGTCATGTTGCCACAAATTCTTCTCCAGGGTTTCTACTTCTTATGCTTCATCTCAAGCCAGCGGTGATTTCTGCTTGTGGGGGCAGAAAACATCCCTTGTTAATTTTGTCTTGTCACATAAATCTGTGTGTTTGGTGCTGACCCCTGCTAGAGGGAATCGGGGGGGCCCCCAACATGTGTGTGTTTTCCCACCCTGATGTTTTGTTGATCTTTAAAATAAATAAAAAAATACCTGCTACAGGTATTCAGAACCTGAAATAGGTATATCCCCATATATTATATCTCATAGGACTGGAAGGGACCCTGAAAGGTCATCGAGTCCAGCCCCCTGCCTTCACTAGCAGGACCAAGTACTGATTTTGCCCCAGATCCCAAAGTGGCCCCTTCAAGTATTGAACTCACAACTCTGGGTTTAGCAGGCCAATGCTCAAACCACTGAGCTATCTCACCCCCCCCTCACCCCCACCCCGGGCTTCATGGTGCTGAGAAATGTGCCTGGGTGATGTTATATTTTTTAGGGGCAAAGGTTATAAATTAATGAGTGTGTTTTCTCTGGTGCATCCAAGTTATATTTAGCACTTTACCTCATTACAGGTGGCAATATGGAGTCATGCACTTTTCTAATTATTATAATTAAACCAGTGTGCATTAAGTTAGCCTTGCCCTAATCAAGGAGAAGACACTTATTGCAGGTATTAATGATAGCCTTACTAAACATGAGTTGGTATCGGTTTTCCCCATTTAGAGATGGGGAAACTGAGGCACAGAGAAGGAAAATGACTTATCCTGTTTGGTCATAGACTACTGGGGTTGGAAGGGACCTCAGGAGGTCATTTAGTCCAACCCCCTGCTCAAAGTAGGACCAAGCCCCAGACAGATTTTTGCCCCAGATCCCTAAATGGCCCCCTCAAGGATTGAACTCACAATCCTGGGTTTAGCAGGCCAATGCTCAAACCACTGAGCCATCCCTTCCCTGCTCAGTGGTCTGAGTGACTCAGTGGTCAAAGACACGGAGTGTAGAACTCAGGTGTCCTGACTCCCAGCCTCCACTAACCACTAGAGCAGCAGTTCTCAACCAGGATTCCGAGGTCCCCTGGGGGGGCCGCGAGCAGGTGTCAGGGGATCCGTCAAGCAGGGCCAGCATTAGACTCACTGGGGCCCAGGGCAGAAAGCCGAAGCCCCACCACCCAGGGCTGAAGCTGGAGCCTGAGCAACTTTGCTTCATGGGGCCCTTTGTGGCGTGGGGCCCGGGCAATTACCCTATTTGCTACCCCCTAACGCCAGCCCTGGCTTTTATATGTAGAAAACCAGTTGTTGTGACACAGGTGGGCTGTGGAGTTTTTATAGCGTGTTGGGGGAAGGGGGGGGCTCAGAGAGAGAGGTTGAGAACCCCTGCACTAGAGTCCCATCCCCTCTCAGAGCCATCGATGGAACCCAGGAGTCCTGACTCCCAGCCCACCCCCGCCACGCACTCTAACCCACTAGACCCCACTCCTCTCCCAGAGCTGGGGAGAGAACCCAGGAGTCCTGGCTCCTTTTGTGAGAGAACTGAGTGTTCGTGACTGGGGGTGGGGGTGTAGATCCTTGACCTGGGCGCGCACAGTTCTGCCAGTGCTCCTCAATCTCGTTCCGCAGACCCCTGTGATGCCAGCCCTGGGCTCCCCGCCCCCCTGCTCTGCTGGTGCCCCTCAGTCCTGACCCGCAGCTTTTCTTAAACCCGGTACTCATCTGAAACCCGACACAAGCGAGGAAGCCGGGGAAGGAGGCCTTCTGACTGTTGTATTGGTAACCTGTGCTCGGCTTGGAGCCAGTCCGCGGAGGGGACAACTTAGTTCCTTTGCGTCCCGGAGAGAGCTGTCCGTGACTGGTGTTCTGCCCGGCCGGCTGGCCAGCTTCGTTTTCCCTTCTCCGACGCCCTGAGACAGCCGATGTTTGTCTTCAGTTTCTTACATGCTGTTTTATTTAGAACAGGACTCCTGGGTTCTATCCCCAGCCCTGGGAGGGGAGTGGGGTTGAGTAGGTTAGAGCGGGGTCGGGGCTGGGAGTCAGGACTCCTGGGTTCTATCCCTGGCTCTGCTGTGTGGCATTTGCTGTCTGATATTCTTCCACACACCAGGGTAGCAAACCACATAGCCCAGGGTAACCCCGTCTGGTTCTCATTTTTGGGCTTCTTTGGGCTTAGCTCCCCTGGTCTGGAGAGGATGAAGCCGTGGGTCCCGTAGCAGTCGGGCATGAGGCTTGTATGTGGGGCACTCATTTGGCGGCGTTTTAACCCCTCTTCCCTTGCGTGTGTCCCCACAGCTGCCGCCTTGGGATGCCATAAGGAGCCAGACAAGGAGGAGGAGGAAGAAGCAGC